TTATCACAGCATCAGCGTGAAAATGCTTTTCTATTAGTCACAACATTTCATGAAGCACTGAACGTATCTAGAAACCTTGATTTTTATTTTTTCACTCACATTTTAATCAATGATGGAGCTGAGACTTGTGAACCTGAAGCTCTCAGTCCATTTTTAATGGCAAATGAGAATACACAGATTGTTATTGCTGGAAATCCACATTATAAGGTACATATTTACTTGCACTATTGTGTTTGCATTAAAGTATTTTGTATAATTGTAGGTTGGTTTTGTTTTTGGTAAAACTCCACAGCAGTTTGGTTTACATGTTTCTTTATTTCAACGATTAATTGAAAGATATAATTCATTTGCAGACAGTGCTCCTGAAGTGAAAGTTCCTTTGTTCTCCAATCAGCAGTCTTCACATGCTCTCTCTTTAACACCACAGCCACATCAAGCATCTCCTCAATTGTCATCTATTTCCTCAGAAAAAGCAATATCAAGTAAAGTCCCTGCTTCCCAAGAAATTATAGTCCAATATGAAAACCCTAATAGTAAGATTCAGCTCTCTTCATCTAGTCAAGCAACTTTTTCACAAAGAAGTAAGGACACAAATACCACTACAAAGCATCAAAACAGAAGAGTTGGTGATTCTAAAGTAGGACTACCTGCAGATAATCAACAGCTACCAACCACTTCATCAGAGCAACAGTATCTTAAAAATTGGCCATCTCTTGATGCTTCATCAAAATGTTCCTTAAAAACACCAAAATATGTGCCATTAGTTTCAAAACAAGCCAGTTCAGAGTATTCGGGGACTCAGAAACGGAGAAAAGTTAGCATAAACTCATTTGTCGATGAGGAGCTTAGAAAAACCTCACAAGAAAAGAAGGAATCTACATGTATTAAGTCTAAAACTTCTATTGAAGGTAATTGATAAAATAATTAATAAACTTGTAATTTTTAATATCTGTTAGCAGCTACAGTGAAGAAGTTTATTTCATCGTACTCCTTTAGAAAGCATAGCCATTGCCCTATTGATGAAGAGCTGTTAACTGCTACATTAACTCCTAGCAACTATAAAGAGAAGTTTCATCAGTTATTGTGTCGAGAAGAAGATGAACACGAGAGGATCCTTAGAGACAAGTATGTTGAAGAATATATAAATGAGATAAATTGTGGATTGATAATTTAGATGTGATGGTCTCTATCAATTAACGTTGTCAAGTATTGATTTATGTATTAACAGGCACTTTAACTGGTATCAAAACAAGTATAAATTATTTTGTACAATATGGAACAAACAAATTGATGCTGATACAATAGCTTATGCTATGCAGGCAAGTGAAGGTATAGTTATTCTCCATTTGTCTACTGGAGATGTACAAGCAGATATTCTCCAGACCAAAGATAAAAGTAGCCCTTGTTTTCTACTGGGGCTTAAAACAAATCCTGGAGTTAAACGACAATCAAATGTCAATGTTACCTTTGTTTTTAAGTATTCATATTTTGATCGCCTTCATCAGGTCCTAAACAACTTGCCTCAAGTTATATTTAGTCGCCTAATACCAAGTGATCCTTGTGATTTTAGCAATGTACATTTAGTCATAAATATTCGTCTTCCGATTCCATGTGTCCGCGATATAGTTGATTTAGAATATTCACAGATTAAAGCACTTAAGTCTATAATGAGCTGTGAAACTAACAAAGCACCTGTTTTAGTTGTAGGTTCATTTGGAACTGGTAAAACTCAGTTGCTTGCTCGTGCTGCATATGAAATATTACAACAAGATCGAACAAACAAGATTCTTATCTGTGCCCATCATCAGCACTCTGCAGACACTTTTGTCACCAATTACTTTTCAAAGATGATTGCTTCTGGTTGGCGTTGTGGTGAAATTGTTCGCTTGGTGCCCTATAAGGATTATGATTATCCTTTTGCTTGTGAAAAGTATTATGCTACTATCATGGGCGGTTGCAGGAAATTAGTCTTACCTGGGCATGTAATTAATGGGTGTGGTGTGTAGGTGTGGTTTTAATTAAATTTAATAATTTTGATTAATTATTGTAATAATATTGGCTGCTAAGGAGAAAAGATACTGTTCCTATTCATGCTATTTAAGTGTAACCCTGGAGTTTTTGTGTGCATCAGCAAACTTGAGAACTATGTCATCAAGATTGTGCCAGAGTTTATTTGAGAGATCTCTCTCTATGTGTAATAAAGAAACATTGTTGAGTCGCTCTTGTGACATTGTTGAACGAAGATGTGTCTTCAGTCTCTTTAGAGAGGAGAAAGAACGTTCTGCTGATGCTGAGGTAACACCAATTGTCATGGCAATCTGTAGAACTTGTAGTAAATGGGGAAAACACTCCTTCACTTGATAAAGATGAGAATAAACATGGTGTAACGTGGATAGAGGAGATGTTTCTTTTAAAAGAGTAGTAGCAACAGATAATTCAGATGCTAGTCCATCCTTGTCAATACTGTAATGTGACATTAAAGGATGAAGAGAGGCCAAATCTAGAAAATTATCCGAGNGTAGGTACAAGTGCCTGTAGTGACTGTAAAAGAGTGAGATTGAGCTCAT